CCAAAACAAGACACAGGTTTCTCATTAAACTTTTGTTTTAATGGGTCTCAAAATTCTGTGACAGATTTTTGGTCAAGTTGTTTCCATTAAAAAGTACTGATTTTAATAAAAATTTAAAAAAAGTACTGATTTTAAAAACTAATAACTTAAAACTGCCACACACGCACAAAAAAACAAAACAAAACAAAACAAAACAAAATGGTCCACAAAACATTCTCCTTTCCTTCTGAAGGTTTTACGATGCATTGTTATCATTCACCAGTCTTTTACTATTAAACTTAAATGGCCAATTGACACAAACAGTTCTGAGACCGTTCTTCCACCACTGATTAAGACTGGGGTGGCAGGTATTGGGGATAATATTCATTTAGCCTTCTGAGCTTTCTGGGCAGACTTGGTGACTTTGCCAGCTCCAGCTGCCTTCTTGTCCACTGCTTTGATGACACCCACAGCAACCGTCTGTCTCATGTCACGAACAGCAAAATGGCCCAGAGGAGGATAGTCAGAGAAGCTCTCAACACACATAGGTTTGCCAGGAACCATATCAACAATGGCAGCATCCCCAGATTTCAAGAACTTGGGACCATCTTCCAGCTTCTTTCCAGAACGACGATCTATCTTTTCCTTCAGCTCAGCAAACTTGCAAGCAATGTGAGCTGTGTGACAATCCAGCACAGGTCCATATTCAGCACTGATTTGGCCTGGATGGTTCAGGATAATCACCTGAGCTGTGAAGCCAGCTGCTTCCATTGGTGGGTCATTTTTGCTGTCACCAGCCACGTTGCCACGACGAACATCTTTGACAGATACGTTCTTGACATTGAAGCCCACATTGTCCCCAGGAAGAGCCTCACTCAAAGCTTCATGGTGCATTTCAACAGACTTTACTTCAGTTGTAACATTGACTGGAGCAAAGGTGACCACCATACCAGGCTTAAGAACACCAGTCTCCACTCGACCCACTGGGACAGTACCAATACCACCAATTTTGTAGACGTCTTGGAGAGACAGACGCAAGGGCTTATCAGTTGGACGAGTTGGTGGCAGAATGCAATCCAGGGCTTCAAGCAGTGTGGTTCCGCTGGCATTCCCATCTTTACGGGTGACTTTCCATCCCTTGAACCAAGGCATGTTAGCACTTGGCTCCAGCATGTTGTCACCATTCCAACCAGAAATTGGCACAAACGCTACTGTGTCGGGGTTGTAGCCAATTTTCTTAATGTAGGTGCTGACTTCCTTAACGATTTCCTCGTATCTCTTCTGGCTGTAGGGTGGTTCAGTGGAATCCATTTTGTTAACACCAACAATTAGTTGTTTTACACCCAGTGTGTAAGCCAGAAGGGCATGCTCACGGGTCTGCCCATTCTTGGAGATACCTGCTTCAAATTCACCAACACCAGCAGCAACAATCAGGACAGCACAGTCAGCCTGAGATGTGCCTGTAATCATGTTTTTGATAAAGTCTCTGTGTCCTGGGGCATCAGTGATGGTCACATAATACTTGCTGGTCTCGAATTTCCACAGGGAGATATCAATGGTGATACCACGTTCACGTTCAGCTTTCAGTTTATCCAAGACCCAGGCATACTTGAAGGAGCCTTTTCCCATCTCAGCAGCCTCCTTCTCAAATTTTTCGATAGTTCTTTTGTCAATCCCACCACATTTGTAGATCAGATGGCCAGTAGTGGTAGACTTGCCCAAATCTACGTGTCCAATGACGACGATGTTGATGTGAGTCTTCTCCTTTCCCATTTTGGTTTAGGTTTAGCGGTGGTTTTTACGACACCTGTGTTCTGGCGGCAAACCCGTTGCGAAAAAGCTCAAGATTTATTTTATAGCTTCAGTAATCAAGACTGTGTGGTAATGGAGGATGTAATGTATAGACATACAAGCTGATAGAACAGAGTAAAAAATCCAGAAATTGATCCAGACTCAACTGATTTTTGACTAAGTTGCAAAAGCAATCATGGAGACTGTATAACCTTTTCAATGAATGGTGCTATAGCAAATTGGGCATTCATAGGGGAAAAAAACCTCCACCAAAACTTCAAATTTTATACGACAATTTGATATGGATTTACGGATTAAAAATTAAATGGAAAGCTATAAAATCTTTACAAAGAAAACATAGGAGCAAATAGTTTTGAGTTTTAGGGCCAAAGAGTTCTTAGACTTGATGTCAAAGGATTGATCTATGAAAAGTTGACAAACTGGACTTTATCAAAATTGAAAACTTATTCTGCAAAAGATGGTTAAGAGGATGAAAAGACAAGCTGCAAACTGAGAGAAAATATTTGGAAACCACATATCTGATGACTAGTAATTAGAATATATTAAGATATCTCAAAAGCTCAACAGTAAAAAAATTCAATTAGAAAATAGGCAAAAGAAATGAACAGATATTTCAGCAAAAAGGATATACGGATGGCAAATAAGCACATGAAAAAGTGTTTAACATCATGAGGCATCAAGGATATGCAAATAAAAACTTCAGTGAGCCATCTACACACCTATCTGAATAGCTAAAATGAAAAATTGTGGCAACACTGAATGTTCACTAGGTACAGAGAAACTGGGTCACTCATATGTGACTGATGGGAATTGAAAACTGTAGCAAAAAGAAAGAAGAAAGAAAAGAAAGAAAGAAAGAAAGAAAGAAAGAAAGAAAGAAAGAAAGAAAGAAAGAAAGAAAGAAAACAATGTAGCCACTCTGGACAAGCTTGGAGTTTCTTTAAAAAACAAACAAACAAACAAACAAAAAAACTGACTAGGGCAGCCCAGGTGGCTCAGCGGTTTAGCGCAGTCTTCAGCCCAGGCCGTGATCCTGGGGTCCCGGGATCGAGTCCCACATCAGGCTCCCTGCATGGAGCCTGCTTCTCCCTCTGCCTGTGTCTCTGCCTCTCTCTGTGTGTGTGTGTGTGTGTGTGTCTCTCGTGAATGAATAAATAAAATCTTAAAAAGAAAAAAACTAAACATAGATTTACCATATGGCCCAGGTATTGTGCTTCTGGGCAATTAAATTATCCCAGAGAAATTAAAACTTATGTTCATACAAAAACTGTACATGCTTGGGATCCCTGGGTGGCGCAGCGGTTTGGCGCCTGCCTTTGGCCCAGGGCGCGATCCTGGAGACCCAGGATCGAATCCCACGTCGGGCTCCCGGTGCATGGAGCCTGCTTCTCCCTCTGCCTGTCTGCCTCTCTCTCTCTCTCTCTCTCTCTCTCTCTCTCTTTCTCTCTGTGTGACTATTATAAATAAACTAAAAAATTTAAAAAAATTTAAAAAAAACTGTACATGCTTAATTTGTAATAGACAAAAATTTGAAGCAACCCAGATGTTCTTCAGTGGGTGAATGTTCAAATAAATCTAGCACATCCATGCCACAGCAATAAAAAGGAACAGATTGTTAATATACATAACTTAGAAGGATGTCCAGAAAATTATGGCGAGTGAAAAAAAAGCCATTCCCAAAAGTTTACATACTGTATGCTTCCATTTATATGAAGTTCTTGAAATGATAAAATTCTAGAAATGGAGAACAGATTAGTAGCTGATGGAGGTTATGGAGGGAGTCAGGGCTAGAATGAACTAGGTAGGTGTGGCTACAAAAGTGTAATATCATGGATATTCGTGGTGATAGAAATGCTTATCTTCCCTGTATCAGTGTCAATATTCTAGGTGTGATATTATACTAGAGTTTTGCAGAATGCAATTATTGGGGGAAACTGGGGAAAAGATACACTATTTTTTATAGTTACATACGAATTTATAATTATCTCTAAATAAATCTTTATCTTAAAAAAGATAGAAAAAAATTGCCTTCAACTTCAGACAAATTCACTATCCTTCAGTAAACCTGGCTAGTTTCCATCGTCCATTTGGCTCCAGCCACCTCCTCCTCAACAGAGACCACTACCACCACCACCAACAACAACAACTAACATTTATTGGGCATTTGTTATGTGCTCTATGCAGTAAGACCTTTATAAGCATTAACTCATTTAATCTTCATAACAGATTAATTTTGGATTTCAGACACTGCTTTTTGTAGTTGATCCTTGTCCCATCATTCCTTGTTTTCTTCCTGTAAGAATGGGAAACATCCATTCTCCAGATTAAAGGCAATCTTTTCACTTAGGCACAGGATCCTAACTCCTTCCAATATCCTCCTTGTATTTTATTTATTTTTTAAAAGTATTTTATTTTAGAGAGAGAACTTGGGCACGTCCCTGCGTATGGGAAGAGGAAGGGGGGGCGGGGGGAGGGGGAGAGAATGTCAAGCAGACTCCCCACTGAATGTGGAGCCTGCCCTGGGGGGCCGATCCCAGGACTCTGAAATCATGACCTGAGCAGAGACCAGGAGTCCCACGCCTAACAGACTGAGCCACCTAGACACCCCTAGCTTTCTTGTAACTTAAACACCTGCCTATGGGTGGCCCAGCGGTTTAGCGCCACCTTCGGTCCAGGGCGTGACCCCGGAGACCCGGGATCGAGTCCCGCGTCGGTCTCCCTGCATGGAGCCTGCTTCTCCCTCTGCCTCTCTGTCTGTCATGAATAAATAAATAAAATCTTTTTTAAAATTTTTTAAAAGCCATTTGAATTGGGTTTAGAAGATGGGGTAGTAGAAGTGTTTCTTGACGAAGGTGAGAGGAGATGGTCACTCCCTGCGAGGGGCCTCGTGAGGCCGGACGCAGAAAGGGCCGCACCAGCCGTTCACCTCAAGTGGCCGCGACTTTTACCCTCGTCACCTCTTTTCTTCCCCCAACCTTCCAGGGCCTGCAGGTGCTAGCGGGTCTGGGCCCTGTGACCCGCAGGGCCGGCCGGTTCCGTCGCTGCTACGAGAGAGGCGCCACCGGTCGCGCAGACGCGGCGGCGACCAGGGTGGATGACGCTCCGCGGGCGCCGGCGGAACCCGAGCGCGGGGCCACGGTTGCAGCTCGGCGCGGGGCTGCTGCGCGGCGGACAGGGGCGCGCGTGCGTGGCAGCGCTTCCGGCCCCGCTCCTGGCGCGGGCGGCGTCCTACGAAGCCCGGACGCTGCGCGAGGAGTCGTGCGTCGACCTCCCGGCCCCGGGCAGGCGCCTGTGCGGGCATCGGGGAAGCACGAGGTCGGCGCGGGGGACCCTGGAGGCGGGTCGGAGGCTGGCGGGGGACTCCGCCTGCTGCCGGAGTTGGAAGGAAATCAGGCACCCGCCTGGGCTAGGTGTGCCGTCGGCTCTCTGCCTGCCTCCCCAGCCGGGAAGGAGGGGGTGGGGGTGGGGGGTTGGGGTGCGGGGTGGGGGGCGGTGCAGAAAATGCCAGATGCAGGTTCATTGGGTTTCTCTGCAGATCCAGTGCCATTAAGTCCTGCGAACTCACACTTTAAAAACAATGAAGAAATTAAAGCTTAAGGAACTAGAAAGTCGCCTGCAACAAGTGGATGGATTCGAAAAGCCCAAGCTGCTTCTAGAACAGTATCCAACCAGGCCGCACATTGCAGGTAGGGCGGCTGGGGACCCCGTCTTTGCTTCCCCGGGTTCGTCCTGTCTGCTTACTCCGTAATGAAAATAAAACAGTTATTTGAATACAAAGAACGTCTGGAGGAATTCTGCTCTGAGATGACCTGTGACGTCGGAGAGGACTTCCTCGACACCGCCGCTAAAGACAGCATCCCCTCCCCCACTTTGTTATTCCACTGCTCGGTTTTCTGCATCCCTCTTAACGCTGTCAGCGTTTTAATGTTTGTTTCTCTCATTGCACTATCAACTCCTTGAGAACAGAAGAATTTGTTGGTGGTGTTGACGCAATTCCATCTTGTCCAGAAGAGCTCCCGCTACCAGTTAGGAGCTCAGTATTGGTTTGCTAAATACAGATCAATTTTCCATTGCAACGAATTGCCAGGGCAAGGCTTCCTATGCTATTCCCCACCCCACCCCGCCCCCAGCATGAATTACTTAGAGTTGGTAGCCAAAGGACCGCGTTTAACAAATGCGTTTCAGTTTTTAATGATCTGAGAATCATCAGTGTTACTTGATGCAAGAAACTGATACTGGGAGTACAGGAGACAACACAGGAAAAACCCTTCATAGCTCGTAAACGTATTACCAAAGTCGTTGTGGAGTCTTAGGACAATGAATTTGGGATCCGTCCTGGCTTCAACTATTTCTTAATACAATTTTTTTTAAAGATTTATTTATTTATTCATGGAGACACACAGCGCGGGGGGGGGGGGGGGGGCAGAGACACAGGCAGAGGGAGAAGCAGGCCCCATGCTGGGAGCCCGATGTGAGACTCAATCCCGGGTCCCCAGGATCATGCCCTGGACCGAAGGTAGCGCTAAACCGCTGAGCCACCCGGGCTGCCCAGCTTCAACTACTTCTAAGCAGCCAATGGAAATCAAGGAAAATACACATAAACCTGCACTAAACAACATATTGTCATAATTCCAACCAAAAATTGGCACAAAACTGTGTCTGGGTTAAGTCCTGTTTTCTTAGTTTAGATGACTTCTTTAGTGTATTCTGGCTGTAGGGTTTCTTAGTGAAGTCTAATTAAAAAAAAAAAAAATCCATTGTTCATAGCCAGGATGTAACATGCCCATGGATGTGCTGATTTTTTAAGATACCAGCTTCAGAGTCACCTGCTGCAGTAATTAGGACAGCAGTCAGAGATAGCCCTCTAAGTGTGTGGATTTTTTAAAAGACTATTTTTAAGTAATCTCTAGACCCAACGTGGGGCCCAAACTCACAACTCTGAGATGGAGAGTCCCATTCTCACCAACAGCCAGCCAGGCACCCCTAATTGTGTTTTTGATGACCCGTAGTTCTGGCTGGTTCACATATCCACAGGGAGAGATCAGTGGTTTTACTCATACTTAACCTTTGTGTATTTGAAAGATCCCTTTTTTATCTCAGCAGTTTCTTCTCTGCTCCTCAGTTCTTATCAGTTCTCATTAGATTTTATGTGTCGATGGATCAAGCGTATGTATCTAAAGGCTCTTTCTGGATATAGGACTTTTCCCATTTTAGCTTGCACTTAGGGTACCCGTGTTGTGGTGACAAACTTGTTGACAAAAAGTTCTGGGCCATTTTAATGTTAATGCTTGTTCAACATTAGTGGTTCCCAGATTTCACAGATCCGTAAAATTTCAAAACAATTTTGGGAGACTGATACAGGGTTGCCAAGTTTATATTTTGACAAGGAAAGGTATTTTTAAAACCTATTTCCTCATACTATCCTTGCAAAAATATTTCAACATCAAAGAACTGATGTATATGTGTGTGTGACAATGGTTTGAACAAGCTGAGGAAAAAACATTTTAACTGTATTTTTCTCATTTAAAGTTTTGTCATTCTTGGCTTGTCACCAGAGTAGTTTTCGGGAACCACTGGTGTGTGTTATTGTTCTTTGTGGGGCCTCTTACTACATACTGAGATAGAATACCTTTTTTTTTTTTAATAATCTGGAACAGCATTTGGGGGAGGATAATTGGGAAACAAGAAATTGCACTCATCATTTACATGACTTAGATTTTGGTCATCAACTTGTTCTTATTCCCTAATATGTTTTTTGATCTTTTAGCATGTATGCTCTATACAATCCATAATACATATGATGACATTGAAAATAAAGTGGTTGCAGATCTAGGATGTGGTTGTGGAGTTCTTAGCATCGGAACTGCAATGTTAGGAGCAGGGTAGGTGATCCTGTATATTAACATTTGGGTACAGGGTGGCCTTAAATAAGAAACATAAATAGAATTAACTGAATTATATTTATGGGACTCTACAGTATGAGATGAAGGGAGCAAGAATCTGAATCTGATACTGAGTACATTTTCAATGAGCAAAACAGTAAAACAATACAGTAATAGTGGCTATCACATGCCTCCCTTTTATACACACCTGAGTTTCCAACCCCTGCCAGGTTGGGAAATCATGCTGTCGAAAGGCAATACTCTTACTTTGCCAGTTGGGTTAAAAAAAGGCATATGGTTTTAATTTGTTGTTTTGATTCAGGAGCTAGTCACTCTTTGTGTTCTGTATTTATAGATTGTGTGTTGGATTTGACATAGATGAAGATGCATTGGAAGTATTTAATAGGAATGTGGAAGAGTTTGAGTTAACAAATGTTGACATGGTTCAATGTGGTTTGTTTGTGCTATTCATTACTAATCCGCTCTTCCGTCCCCCCGTAATTATACAGAAAATTATTAAACACCCTTATTTTACCAAAAAAATCAATTAATACTCCTCCACCCCTCCCCATCATCCCAACTCCTCCCCTCTCTGCAACAAATCTCTCGCGCCACCTAAAACCCTCTCAAGAGAGATAGAGATAGAGGAGAATTTAAACCATCAAATACAATAAACCTCTCACACAAATAACTCTACCCCATAAACCTACCTACCTTTTATATATATATTATAACCATTCTATAAAATTAAATCTCTCCATCTATTTAATCACATAAATATACACCCAGATAGATATAGATGAGAGATAGAGAGTAGAGATAGAACACCCACCAACACCAATCCAAACCTCCATCCAACCTCCCAAAACCAAATACCTTCAAAACACAAACTCCCACAAACCAATCAAACCCCCTTCTAACCTATTAACACTACCATTTACATAAAAACATATAATACATTTACTTCTTTACACCTATTACCTCCCCCTCCCATCTCTAAATGTGTCCTCCATCTCAAATCAAACAAACACCACAAAATCCAATTCTCTAACCAATTCCCACAACCCCAAACTCCCAAAACTAAACAAACCTATATACATCAAATACCCTCTCGAAACTCCAAACACCCAAACCCATCAACCCCATCTCATATAGAAATACACATTTCCCAAAAATCTTCCTCAATCTATACACAAAATTAAATTTCCCCTAAAAACACATACACAACCAACCACAAAATATACATTAAACACCCGCTCCACTATAAAATCTCAAATACCCTTCACACTCGCACTCATTCCATCTCCCTCTCCGCACCGCATCAATTGTGTGTGTGTTCCCTCTCTCAACGCACACGCTCTCTCTCACTCAAACTCATCACTCCATCCACCCCTCTCACATACATAACCACTCCCCAATACAACACAAAGATCCCCCAACCCCCCCCCCCCCCACCTGCGCCCCCAGCCGTTTAATTTATATTTTTGACTTCTCTTCTTTTATCTCCCCTCTCCACCTCTCATCTTCTCTAACAACATTTCTGGCACTTAGAAACTGAATTTTCCCTGTGACTAGCTAGCATTAGTTTTCTTCCAGCCTATAGGACTTCTGTCAAAGATTTGCTCTGACAGGAACTTTTACCAAGAGATTACATGAACTTCAGTAGAGAAGTGTGGTATAGCTAGAGTTATAGTATATCCTAGTTTGCCTAAATCCTAGTAATCCCATTGTCCCGTTGTGGTTTTGTGTGCATAATGGAGGCAGTAAGACCTGATTTTTAAGAACACTGAGCCTGGAGCTAAAGTGAGCTGAGTTCAGAATCTCCCTGTTCCATTATTCTTTTTGCCACCTATGTAACACATGGGGGTATAGAAGATATGTTCCAGAAAATTTGGTATCTTTTTGGTCAATATAACATAATGATCAAGGACACAGACTGTAGAGCCAGACTGCCTACGTTCAAATCCAAACTACCAGTTCCCTGTGTTATCTTGGTCAAGGTATTTGAGTTCAGCTTCATAACCTATACCGTTACTTAGCTGTACTCTTATAGTATTAAAATGGCTTGGTTTATTTTCAGAATACTACCAGTTCACTTGAAAATTTTTTAAGAGTCTAAATTCTGGGACACTTGGGTAGCTCAGTTGGTTCAACATCTGCCTTCAGCTCAGGTGATGATTCTGGGGGTCCTGGGATTGAGCCCCACATCGTCTGCTGCTCCTCCTGCTTATGCTGTCAAATAATTTTCTTTTTAAAGTCTAAATTCTAATGAAATTTTAAAGGCTTAAAAAATATGATTAGCAAAACAATTCTCAAATTATTTTAAAAATCAGCTCACATTAACGTGTTATCTTTAGCATATTCAAAAGAAAGCTACAGAATGGAAAATCAAGATAGATATTATTGCAGGTAAGACAATTTTTAAGTTTCTTACAAAATAAATCTAAACCCTAATTATTTAGGGCTAATAATACATTAGCCCATCCAAAATTTTATAGGTGCTAAGATGCCATAGAACGTGTTTTCAGCCTGGCAAAATGTGAAAGGTTGGTAATGGGTTGGAAATGAAGTAAAGGCCGAGTATCAGTGTTTGCCTAAGAGTGTCCCAATTTATGCATTTTATGGAAAATTCCTAATTAGCACTCAACTATTTGGCCACTCCAGGCTCAGACAGTATACACTGTCGTGATGTAAGAGCGTGGGCCTGGAGGGGTCAGATCTGTTTAAAACCCATTCATGGAAAATACCACCAGATCATGCCTGATTACCTTTTCCATTTCAATTTTCTAATCGTCCCTAGAGTCAGAGAACATGAAGCTTTTTTCTTTTAACAGGGGATAGGATATAATCATCCACACTATAAGTAAATGTTTGATACATTTTTATTAGTAAATTGGGTAATATTCACAAACATCAAAATGGGAAAAACATATAACTAGAAGCCAGCTATGGTCCAAATAATTCTAGAGGCCTGAAATAAAGAGTACAACATGAAGAAAATATTCTTTACTTAGTAATAAACTGACTAGGATTAGCACTGTAGTGTTAACCATATAACCAGTCCTATTCATAATTAGTAATGTAATGTGGAAAAAGTCTGTTGGTCCTATTTATCCAGTATTGTCATTCCTTACCTAGTTTAAGGTATTAGAACTTGCAGCCTGGAGCACCTCAGAACCATTCCAAGTATACCAAGCCAGGGCCTTGCTACTCCAGATGTGGTCCTCAGAACATCAGTATTGACATCCCGTAGGAGAAGACTTGCAAAACTTCAGGCTCCACATAGACTTACTGAATTATAATATGCATTTTAAAAAAGATTTGAAGGTGATTTGATTGCACAGTAAAATTTGAGAGCTGTAACCTATAGAGAATTTATGCTGCAAAATATGAATGATAGGAGTGTACTGCCATCCCTCTAAACTGAGGAGTAATTTTGGAGAACCTAGTATTTCTTAGAGTAAGAAAAATGGATTATCACTTGAAATCTCAGTAGGAAAATACTACCAGTATTAAAATCCAGACAAATTTTAAAAATAAGCATGATTATTATGACTGCTATAGATTATTATGAAATTAGAAATAGAAAGGTATGATCATCTTCTGTCCAATTGTTATCCTTTCAAATTCTTCCCCATAACCTCTAATTTTGGCATCAATGACCAAATAGAAATGCCAACCTCAGTTAGCCATGGGCTGATCTTGAGAATATATCAAGTCAGTCTCTGGGTAAGTTAAAGTGACAGGTCTGAAATGTTCTGCTTACCAGGGTTAAATACTTCCTTAATTTTTAAGAATTTACATATGTAATATATGTATGTCAGGGTTGACAAATGAATTTTTATTCTTAGATGACTTTTGTTTTCTAGAGCTACGATACGACCTGCCAGCATCATACAAATTTCATAAAAAGAAATCCGTAAGTCTCTGGATTCTGGTTTATCTGCATTCAGTACTGAAGAACTTTGCAATAAGTAATTATTTACAATGTTATCAACTTGCCTGAGTAAATACAGAAAGCTAGCCAAGGAGATAGAATAATTATCGATGTGATAACAGCCAATATCCTGGTTTAAGATATTCTTTCTCAAATGCTTTAGGCACAAAAATAAAAAACTAAGTTTTTGCTCTTTTTATATAGTACATATTTTATTAGTTTGTACTAATACATTTTCATATTACAAAGGAAATTTAATGGAAGAATCTTTCTTTTGATATTTGAAATAACACAAACAGAACTATACATTAAAAAAAAAGTCTTCATTTGGATAACAAAAAAAGACAAGTTAAACAACAACAAAAATTTTCCTTTCTTACAGGTTGATATTGAAGTGGACCTAATTCGGTTTTCTTTTTAAAAGCCTCTAAAGACAAAAACAGCTTAAAACCTAATTAAGATGAATAAAAATTTTTTTTACTAAATTACTGGTCTCCAGCACCATTTTCTGTTTTCTGTTGTTTTGGTGTAGGTTGTTCTTCTTTGTCTGTTTCTTCTCTTGCTCTTTTTACTGGTCCTATACAATTCAATAGAGAATTTTTGTTAAGTTCACTATGTAAGCATTACTCTTTTAATAGTGAGCATAATTAACAAAATAATTGTTTGAAAAGCAACAACTTCCCAACACCAACAATAAGGCTTTTCCTTTGGTACAGATCTTCTCTCTAAACTTCTCTTCCAAACTTTTTTTTCACTTGTAAAACAGGGTAACTTGGGTAAATCACAATCCAAAAGTCACTTATACCAAAGGTGAAAAACCACACTGCTGTCCTTTCAAATAATTTTGAAATAACAAATAATTTTTCATCAAAGAACCAAAGGACTTAGAAAAACTTACCAGATGCACCATTCTGATCGTGTTCTTCATCACTATCAAATTTAGTTTTCTTGCCCTGAAACTGTACTTTTCCTTTAGCAGACCCAGTCTGGGCAGCTTTATTCCCCTTTCCTTTTCCTTTAAATCTGCGACCTATAAAAACATAATTGAGAAATCCATAAAAGTCTTAAGTCCCTTGTCACTGTCTCCGAACAAGCAAATGAGTTAAAATAACCAAACAGTCCAAGACAAATCAGAACTAATGACCTTTTGATTTCCATTTGTTTAGAGATTCTTGTTGATCTTCTATGATTTTTTTCAGTGCTTCCTTTTCCACATCTCCTTCTAGTACTTCCCACGTCACTTCTTTGTTCCTTAATTGTAGGTTACCATTATTTGCATCTTTGGCTTTATCCAGTGCTTCCTTAGCTTTTTCTTTAAATAGAATTATCCCCTATACCAAAGACAGTAAAAGCCACACCCTTAAGTTTTTTTAGTACCATAGTTAATTCCATTGCTCAAAACTTTTTCCTGCCCTGCAAATCTTCTCTGCCATTATCAGTTTCAATGAATTTTAACTGAACTTTTTAGAGAGTTATCATAAAACTTGCAGTCACAAATACCAAGTTATTTATAGCATAATTCAAAAAGTATGAGACATCACATCCAGTGATGGCAATAACAAAATGGAAAGTAAAAGACCAAAAACTATTTCATGAACACATTATTAAATAATTTTGTCGCTAGTAATGTTATCTTCTAAAAGTTAAGTTTCTATGGATTTTTAAACTGATTGCTAAAAAGCCTATGAATGTTTCCAAACCTCTTTTGCTCCTCTGACAAAGTCTATCCATTTTATTTCACCATGACTTGAGAAAAGGATGTGCAAATCTTCTCTACAGGTCTGATCATCTAAGTCTCCTGAAAATTTCAGCAAGCAGCCAATCTTTTCTTCTAGAGATTTCTGTAAAGACATACAAAGCATTAAAGTTTTTTAAAAGCAACCACAAACCAAATATGGCTTAAACCACTCTATACCTAAAACATGGGAAAAGCTAGAAACTAAAATGCTGTTTCAAAGTAGTTTAATAGTGCATTTTCCTGTGGCATCCCTTATTATACAGTGGCTTCTGATTGTAACTTAAAATTTTATTTCTTCAACAATATAATATTTACCTAGCTGGATACATTAGTTATTTAAAAAATGTAGTTACAAGTTCTTTCTCTGGGTAATTTTAGGCAGTATTATTGGGCTATGACTTTAGTACAATGAAAACTACAGACTTGTTCACATATTTGTTTCAAAAAGTTCTCACTTTTTATTCTCATAAATTTGAATTATAGCTTAGATACCAAAAATACAGACTTACTATTTCAGCACTTTCTGCTAACTTTTGTTTTTCCTCTTGCTCTCTACAAAAGAAATGGTAATTAGAATCTTTCCATTAACTGTATGAGAAAATTAAATCCTGATAAAGTTAACCTTGATCATAATCACACATTGCTTAATAATCAAAGGCAGTCACTAGGCTTTCTGATTGCTCCTGGCTAGAGTGCAACACTGTGGCCCCCAGATTATCAAGGGAGCTTAAGATCTTAATGTTTCACTAGCAAAACAAAAGCCTACTGCTACTCATTTCAGAACTCATCATCAAGCTCCACTTCCTAGAACCACTATCTCTGTCAAAGCTTTAAGAAATTAAAATGACTGGCTCAACGTACTTACTGTTTAGCTCGTAATTTAGCTTCTACTTTATTTTGCTTTCTTTCTTCATTTTTTTTGGCAAAGTAATCTTCCCTAAAGAAGACAAAATACAGGGACTGAGTTCATGAGAACAAAAATTAGACTAAATTATTTTGAATTAATTAAACACCAGAAGGAATATTACACTTTCTAGAAATATAATTACCTAAAAATTCAAAAGATACCAAGGAAGTTATTTTAATAACAGCTTTACGAAAAAAGTCACATTCCATAAAATGTACACCTTTTAAAAGTGTACACTTCAGCAGTCTTTAGTATATTCAGAATTGCACAACCATCAGTAATAATTTCAGAACAAAAAGAAACCCAATGTCCATACCAATCTTGTATTGATTTTATCATTCGTGTATGGAAAAAAACATAAACCAGAATTTGTGGAAATAAGTTCATAGAATTTTCTTTTTCTTTCTTTTTTTTTTTTTTTTTTTAGTTCATAGAATTTTCTACAGTGGTACTTTACAGTAGGAGAAAATTCTACAACCTCTGAAACCCAAGAGTAAGAGCAATTATGAAAATCATGTTAGGGACGCCTGGGTGGCTCAGTGGTTGAGCATCTGCCTTTGGCTCACGTTGTGATCCCGGGATCCTGGAATCGAGTCCTGCATCAGGCTCCCTGCAGGAAACCTGCTTCTCTCTCTGCCTATGTCTGTCTCTCTCTCTCTTTCATGAATAAATATGTAAAATCTTAAGACAAAAAAAAAGGGAAAGAAAATCATGTTAAAAAATACTTTTTAAAAAGTTAACACTAATTGCACGATGCACCACAGTGCATCTCTAAGTCCATCAGGTTTAGTACATGGCATTTAAGATTACATAATGTGAAAATAGGGAACAATGGCCTAACTGTATCATAAAAATGCTCTGGTGTGTCTAAATTGTTAACACACACACACACACATTAAAGAATGTGGTCCAAATCTGTATTAAATAATCCTTTGTACTATATAGGTATACACAGACTATGAGAAGTAAGAACAGACTGGAAATTGGACAGAGATTGATTCTCTAACCACACAGTCTACTATCTAGCTTGATTATGTTTTAGATGCAAATAAAGTACTAAAACTATTTTTTACTGTTAAAAAAACACTTCCTTGTGGTCTCAGAGGACTAGTAGTTTCCACTGAGCAAATTTTAAGTGTTTATCAAAGAATGCCCAAGGAACTAAAAAATATTGTTCTTACATGGGATGTTATTCCATATTCTGTATCCCAGTGTGTTAATTCCATATAACTAAAGTGGCCAGAAGCAGTATCAGCATAAAGACTTACTTGAAAAGTATTAGCAGGTCTGTGTCTTTATATTTCTGGTCAGGGGTGTCAACAAACTTCCTAGCAGATTCAATACTATCAAACACAGCAAATATTGATCCCTATTGAAAGGGGAAGAAAACTCTTTTTAAAAATATCCCATATATTTTTCAGCTAGAAAAAGTTGTAACATCATACAACCATACCTTAAATGCTTTGTGTAATGTTCTTCTCATCTGAATATTTAGTACTTGACCTTTATCTTCTAACCATTCTTTTATGTCATCAAGGGTTGCATCAGTTGGGAAGCCTTTCTGTGAAGAGTAGAAAGAAATGTACAAATGACTTCTCAGGTAAACAATTTATCAGAAATTGAGTCATTTTGTCTTGAAGTCAAGCCAGGATATACATATCTAACTAAATATTTCTCTGTCTCTTAAATGTTTAACAGTTCTGGTTAAGAGCCACTGTTCTCTAGTGCAGTAAAAGTGACTGAACTGGAATATGCTTCAAAATAATCCTTTGGGGCAGAGATAAAATTAATCATATGTTAATAACTGCTGAAGTTGGATAATAGTACATTATATAGTGAACCCATCTTTGTAGGTCTTAAATTTTCCAGAATAAAAAGAATCTACTTTAAAAATTCATATGCTAAAGAAAATTACTATCAAGTTTAGCTCTAGATAAATAAGAAATTGATAGGCTTACTGGGTGCTTACAATATGCCCAACATTTTGTACAGTGTTATATGGATTTTTTCATTAATTCTCACTAATTCTCACAACAGTTCTATAAAGTAAAAAATATTATCCCCATTTATGAAAATAATGCTTAGGCAAGTTAAGAACACTGCACAATGGGGCACCTGGGTGGCTCAGTTGGTTAAGTGTCTGCCTTCGGCTCTGGTCATGATCTCGGGGTCCTGGGATTGAGCCCCATGTTAGGCTTCCCTGCTCAGTGGGGAGTCTGCTTCTTCCTCTCACTCTCCCTCTGCTCCTCCCCCTGCTTGTGCTCGCTCTCTCAAATAAATAAAATCTTAAAAAAAAAAAAAAAAAAAAAAAGCAACACTGCCCAAGAACACACAGTAAATGGTAAAAACTATGATTCCGGAGTCCTTATTCTTATCCACTCTGTTTTTTTTTTTTCTAAATAAGATATTTAATATATAATTAAATGTGTGAAAGGCCCACTTACAATATAAACAGATCTGTTTTTTACATCATTCTTATATTCATCAGTCACTTCAGGGAGGGGTTTGCTTGGAGATCTTCTGATTTTAGTTTTATCTTCACTTATTTCCATGAGTTCAGCCTTTGATTTGCTCAGTGCTTCTACTATTACATTAAAGTCTGTTGTTAGACGGTTTAACCTGAAGAATACATATAAAAGCATTATAAAACTTAGTTGTAGCACTTGTTAACAAAAAAATCTAAAGACAGTTTGAAAATGGTTTTTACTGGGTGCCTGGGTGGCTGATCCTCAAAGTCATGAGTTCAAGCCCTGTATTGGACTCCACTCTGGGTATAGAGCCTACTTTAAAAATAATAATAAATAAAATAATAAAAAAGATTTTTACCTATTGAATTTTAT